TATGAAGTTCTGAAATTTTTAAAGAACAAGGGTGCCAAGTTATTAGTTCATAACAAAAAGGGAAGAACACCTCTACAGTATGCTATCATATATAAACACATTACAGATATGAGTCATTTCATTGATACGTATAGTGATTTCAGCGATTTCAATCATGAGACTCATATAGAAATCTTAGAACTTTCAGCAGCAAAGCAGATATTCAGTGTTGATGAGGAAGAGTCTGTTGGGGGAATAAACACCTATAAACTAGCTCTGATTGAAAGAAGAAAACACAATATTCCAAATACTAGCAAAAAGCCCCCAAGGGAAGTTTTCTTTGATAGTATTGTAGAACCTGATACAGAAAGTTCCAAGTTTTTGGATGTAATCTGCACTGCAGGAGAAAAGAAGAAAAGACTTATTCTTGGTCTCCTGATTTATGAAAGAATTTTAGGATGTAGACATTTTTGTTTTCTGAATGGATGCAATATATATGTAAACCTTTTGCGTAAAGGAGTTTGTGAGGAAAATATGGCAACAGATCATCTTTTGAAGAGTTTAAAATGTCATTTCAATTTCCTGAAAAATGAAAAGGTTTTGAAAAAAAGGCCCAGTACTTTTTATGATATGAGGGAAATAAGGAATTATGAAGATCCTTGCAATGTTGCCAATGTAACTGAGAGAACAATCCCACTAAATCACTTTTACTGTAACAGTGACAAATACACAACAAAGGAATTATTGGATGTGTTGATGTTTTTTCATGTTAGTGCCTTTCAGATGAAGATTGAACATGATGTTATACCTTCCCATGGAGACAAAGTTGATTTATTATATTTGATGGACACTATTTTGTCAAGAAGTTTATCTGCTGAAGATAAATGCGATCTAAAGAAGGCAATGGATGCCATTGTCATTGCAGGGAATTTAATAAAGCATGGATCATTAGGATTAATTCATAGTATCGTGTGTCCTATGTTGTTATTGGACAGTGATTATAAGGAAGACATCCATAATTTTAGTCATGGTCCAGAAATTCTAGAAATGCTTCTAGACAGTGGTGCCTCCATTCATGAATTAGATGAAGAAAAATTGAACATTCTGCATTGGTTTTTTACAACTAGCATTGAAAATTTTGATGAAAATATATACGAGAGTTTTCCCGAAGAGGAAGTTGAAAGTACAGACAATCAACTTAGGAGAATTGTTAACATTGCAGTGGAGAGAGGACTGCATGTAGATCAAAGAACTAATGAAGATCATGGATTTCAAACTGTACTGGATCAAGCTGGGGGCACAGAATTTTATCCTATTGTGAATAATCCCAAGTACAGAAGTCTGAAATGTCTTGCAGCATCTGTTATTATAGAGAACGATATTCCCTTTAGAAATGAGGTTCCAACAGAGCTTATTCATTGGATAGAGTTTCATATGGGAAATAGAGAATTTTATAACTAAATTCATTTTTTTCAATTTTTAGGTCACCTGAGTCACTCAGGTGACCTATTGCTATCCGTTTTTGTCTGTCGTTGTGTGTTAACATTTGAACATTTTTAGCTTCTTCTCTGAAACCACTGAATCAATTTCAAGCAAATTTGGCATATAGCATCTATGGGTGAAGGGGAACAAAAATTGTGAATTTCATAATCCCTGTCCCCCTGGGGCACGAGGAGTGGGGCTGAAACCACCAAAATTAATGGAATCTTTAAAAATTTTCTTCTTTACTCCTGGACATGAAGCAGTCAAGCTGTTGGCGTGATTGTAGTAAGCATTGAGCCCTCTACCAAAATGTGAAATTCATGGCCCCAGGGTCAGGGGTTCTGGTGTAAGGGTGGGGCTCTATTGATCATATAGTGAAAATGCATTAATTCTTTGAATCTTCTTCTCTGCTCCTGGGTATTAAATAAACTTAGTGCATAGTTCTGATGAGCAAGACTGCTTCTTCCAAAATTGTGAATTTCATGGCCCCAGAGTCAGGGGTTCTGGTGTTAGGGCGGGGCTCTATTGATTATATAGTGAAAATACATTAATTCTTTGAAAAATCTTCTCTGCTCCAGGGTATTAAATAAACTAAGAATATAGTTATGATGAGCAAGAGTGCCTCTTCCAAAATTGTGAATTTCATGGCTCCTGAGTCAGGGGCCCAGGTGTTAGGGTGGGGCTCTATTGACTATATAGTAAAATTGCATTTATTCCTTGAAAATCTCCTTCTCTGCCTCTGGATATTAAATAAACTAAACAAGACTGCCACCTCAGAAATTATGAATTTCATGGCCCCAGGGTCAGGGGTTCTGGTGTTAGGGCAGGGCTCTATTGATTATATAGGAACATGCATAAATTCTTACAAAATCTTCTTCTCTGCTCCTGGATATTATTCAAACAAAGGAAGTGCATGGTTATGATAAGTAAGAATGCCTCTTCCAAAATTTTGAAATTCATGGCCCCTGGGTCAGGAGTTCTGGTGAAGCTTTATTGATTATATAGTGAAAATGCATTATTTCTTTCAAAATATTTTTTTCTACTACTGGTTATAAAGCAAAGAAACAAGTGTATGATGAGCAAGGATGCTTCTTCCAGAATTGTGAGTTGATGGCCCCTGGGTCAGATGTTCTGGTGTAAGGGTGGGGCTTTATTTATTTAGTAATATAGTGAAAATGCATTTCTTTGAAAATCTTCTCTGCTCCTGGGCATATGAGGCAAACGGAGTAAAAAAGTTTTCATATGCAAGGGTATTTTTACCAGAATTTGAACACCTGGACCATTTAGTCAAGTGTTCTGGTCCTGGCCAGGGCTCTATTAATTTGTATTCTGCTGAGCAAAGTTATTCCCCTTTGCCGTTCTCCTTTCATAATTAATCACTGTAAATAATGTATTTGTCAATGAAAGATTAATAGAATAAGAGAATTATGCAAGAATATTTATTGTATAATACAAAAAGTACTAGTTTTAATGATTATGTAGACTTGGAAATAATAGATGAATAAAAATGAAACAAAAATAACTTATCTTTTTAAAAGTTCTTCAAAGGCCAAGAGAGGCCAATGTGAGAAGTAATAATACGGGGTTAAAAATAGACATTTTGTTAATCGTCTGCATGGTAATAGTGATAAATGGGAGACAGGTAGATACTAGACCAATTATTCTGTTGATCCTAATCATACTAATTTTTTTGCTTTTGGGCAACAAAGCTTCTTTTATAAGTTTATGGATCCTCTAAATTGTTGTATTGTACTCAAGTGACTGTTAAGGCCCTTGGGCCTCTTGTTTTTCTCCAGATCAGTAAAGTATCTACAATGAAGCAATGCCTTATCTGAAAATTTTAAAGTCTTTCTTTGTTTTTCATTGAACATGGGTAGAAAACATGTATATGTCTCATATAAACACTGTTTGGAGGAATGCCAATTTATAGTTATAAAGTCACTACTGGTATTTCTAGGGTAAAGTTTTCTTGATTTGAATAAAATCATTTGAAGAATGAAATTTTATTATTTTTTGGAGGACATGAATTGTTCATATCATGAAAACAACGAAAAATTAAACCTTCTCAAAAATGAGTGATTTTTCAGTAACTCTAAAACTGATGTCTTCAACAACGATTTTTTTAATAACCTTGGGAGTTTTACCTACTTAAAAAAAGCTTGAACCTTGGCCATAACATTTGAACATTTGGTTCTAGGACTTTCATATTTCACGTACAGGTGCTTCACTTGTGACAAGACCTTCCCTTGGGCACATTTGACCTTGACCTTGATGTTTTACATACTTTTGAAAAACTTGAACCTTCACCAATTTAACTTTTCAACGGTTGGTGTCAGGGCTTTCATATTTCGGAGGTATATTCCTCGAGACAAGACCTTTCTTTGGGTACCAACATTTTTGATCTTTTGACCTGGAGTTTGATTTGTATTTGAGAAACTTTAACCTTCGCCATAAGCTGCTACATATATGACAAGAAATTGGTACTGTGTTTTGAGGTCATACTTTTGTACCCTAAGGCACATCCCTTATTTATCCTTTAGCAGTAAGGTTACAAAAAGGTTACAGTATAAATCTAAAAACGCAGTACCAATTTCTTGCCATATCTAAGCTGCTATACGGGGGCATCAGTGTTTCACAAACACATCTTGTTTGTTTTGATTTTTAGTTAAGCCATGTGTGTAGATACTAAAAAAATATACTTGACAAAAAATTCTGAAGACTTATAAAATATCAGGATCCAACCTCGTTAAAGCACAGGTGCCTGGGGACGGGACCCCCCCCCCCCTCGCGTTCCGTACCCAAGGGTTCTTTGACTTTTTTAAAAAAAAAATATATATATATATTTTTCTATGACACATACACATAGTATTACAACTGAAAAATCAAAACTATAACCTAAAACTAGCCTTTTACCGGAATATAAAAATTCACACTCTCTGATACTAAAAGAGAACTCTATTAGTATCAGAGAGTGTGAATTTTAATAAAAGCCTAGTTTTAGGTTATACTTTGGACTTTTCATTTGTGATGTGAATGTGTCATTAAAAATATTCTATTAAAAAAATCAAAGAACCCTTGGAGTACTGAACACCGGGGGTCGGGTGTCCCGTCCCCAAGCACCTGTGCGTTAAAGGGAGCAAAAATTCAAATATTGCAAATTCATCAATAAAGGAATTTAACATGAAAAAGATATCTTCCGTTGAGTTTATGTTAAAAATTTAAGCGTTTTTTTTAAAATCGGTGGAATTCACTGACATGAATTAAACCGTATTTTATTTGAAGTGGACTGAGGAGTGCTTTCTATCATAAGAAATATATAATTGTTAAATAGATATTGTTACCTTTATAATGTATTTTGAAATGATTTGTTTGTTTTAACTATTGTTTACTGAGCCATAAACATCCACAAAATAGTGGAGAAAACTGCATGTGCATCTCGTAATATATTTTTGTACGAAATATTTCTTGTACAACCTAACTGAAATCTTGAATAGAAAGTAAAACTAAGATTTTATTTTCAGTTTATCTTTTTGCGGTTCAGGATAAAAATAAACGAAAATGAATGCAATTATTTCACTGAACTACAGCGGTTTGGAAGAAATGCCAGAATATTTGATGAGCTCACATTTTACGACGGAAATTCAACATTTGTACATGAAAGGAAATCGATTGACCTCTGTGGTAATTCATTACAAACCAGGTCTAATAGTAATAAGAATACTAGAAATCCTTGTCGATCTTTACCTGTTTACGATTCAACATTGGTGTTACCACTTTGAAAATAATTATGATTAATGCATACATGAGCTGGTTTATCCTTATTTTGTTTGATGATTCAAGTACAATTTTACCCATAGAAATAATATCATTTTTACAACTTTCTCAGAAAAAAAAACCCTTTTCGCAGACATTGTTATTTATATGGTAACTTTATTCTTAATATAGATATGATAGTTTATGTGTACAAAATCTTCGTTAGTCACTATCTCCAATGTTTTTTTTTTTCAGCCAGAAGCAATCCACAGACTTGTCAACCTTACAGTGTTGTAAGTATTACATAATTAAATCACAAGAAAAAATAAATAAAAAAATATAATATTTTAATTATTTACTGATTTTATAATTAGATTTGTCATCTGATTACCATGTTTAATATTGATGCTCTTTGATTGGTTCTGACCCTCTTTCCTGAGGAGTACCAGCGTGAGTTCACCTCAGAATGAAATTCTGGGAGGTTTATTTGGGTTTCCCTCTTGATCAGTTATTATGGTAGCATATTTCTGCCCCCTGCAAGATAAATTATGTTAACATGCAACATAATTATGTTGACATGCAACTTATTTATGTCAACATGCAAAATAATTATGTTGACATACAAGTTACCAATATCTTTAGAGAATCTAATTTTAATACTGGTAAACTTACTCACTAACGCCATTATATGACATCATACAAGCAAGATACAACAGGATTATGTTGACATGCAACTTATTTAACATGCTTGCTTAGATAATTATGTAGACATGCGACTTATTTATATCAACATGCAAGATAATTATGTAGACATGCAACTTATTTATATCAACATGCAAGATAATTATGTAGACATTCAACTTATTTATGTCAGTATGCAAGATGATAATGTTAACATGCGAGTTTATTATGTCAACATGCGAGAAATATATGTTAACATGCAACTTATTACCTTGCATGTTGACATAAATACCTTGCAAGTTAAAATATAACTCGCATGTTGACATAAATAAGTCGCATGTTGACATAAATAAGTTGCATGTTGACATAAATAAGTCGCATGTTAACATAAATAAGTTGCATGTTAACATTATTATCTTGCATGTTGACATAAACAAGTCGCATGTCTGCATAATTATCTTGCATGTTAACATAAATAAGTGGCATGTTGACATAAATATCTTGCATGTTAGCATAATTATCTTGCATGTTAACATAAATAAGTCGCATGTCAACATAAATCTGTCGAAGCTTGCTTGTATGATGTCATATACTGGTGTTCGTAGGTAATTTTACCAGCATTAAAATTAGATTCTCAAAAAAATTGGTAACTTGCATGTCAACATAATTATTTTGCATGTTGACATAATTATCTTGCATGTTGACATCTTTTCTTGCATGTTGACATACTTTTCTTGCATATTAACATCATTTATCTTGCATATAGTGGGCAGAAATATGCCACCATAAATTATAGATGTGCTAACAGTACATTAGATTGGGTGTTGTAAAACTTCTGTCATTGTAAACATGAAAATGGTAGAGACCAGTATCAAATACACTAAACTCCTTGTCTTTTATATTTCATTGGTTGAGTCATATTGTTTTATAAGATTGTTTTCCACTTTTTTAATGGAATATAATTATGATGTGTTGTTACATAACACGTTATGTTTATATTTGTCGGAGACAATAGCTACAGTGTGAAAAATGTTGTAAAATTCCTTATTTATATTTAATTAAACAGTTATGGTGACTTTTGAATTGGTCTACTTGTGACTGTACAGACCTAGTCAGGTATTGGGCCTCAGTCAACCAATTACTGTATGTGTACTTAAAAAGGCGGGCTTCATATTTTAGCGGCTTTGGCATGGACAACAATGCACTAACTCATGAATACCGTTAATAAATGAGAAATAAATAGAATAAATGGTGCAGACATGTGTAACGCTAATTCATGATTACACCAACCACTCCATACCAAATGATTGCGCTAAATTTTGAATACCTCAAATGTACATGTGCTGTATGTTACCTGACTGGGTCTGTGTAGTCATAATTAAGTAGACCTAACTGTATAGTTACTTTGTGCAACGTTTGAAAACATCCGAAGCTTATTTGAGTAAAATAACCCTTCTACAGAATTTTAATATTTTTAAATACAGTTTATTATTAAAGGAAAATATATTTAATATATATGTCTTGCACAGCTTTCTAGAGAATATAAATTATCCTTTTTTTTAGGTATCTGCAAAGCAACAGAATTGAAATTCTCCCAAATAGTAAGTATATAATTAATGTGACTGTAGACTAGAATTAATAACATTTATACATACAAATGATACATTTGCTGAAGTGCCAACATATAATTAAAATGATTAACAAGTGATAAGAAATATACCATTTGAAAAAAAAAAATTGTCGCCTTGACAAAGTAGAGTTAAGCTAATAATTAATATTACACCTGTTTTTCATGTTGGAATTCCATGAGAATAAAGATTTTGGAGCAGGTCCATTCTTAAAGAACTATAAACTACAGTTGAACTTTGGTATCTTGAACACCGATATCTCGAATACCATGGATATGTCGAAATGATTTGGAAGTCCCAACCCCTTATTGTTTAAGTATTTTGCCCTGGATATCTGGAATCCTCGATATCTTGAAGTTTTTTCTCGGTCCCATTGAGTTTGAGATAATGATGGTTTGACTGTATGAACTACAGTTGAGTCTCAACAATCCAGATGCTACTGTATCTGAACATGTTGTCCGGATTAATGAAGCCATTTGGATTACTGAAACATATTTAGTAAATGTAAATATAAATTGTTCCCCACAAATTTTGTCCAGAAGCATCTGGAGTACTGGTATCCAGATTTAAAAGGATCCACTATACATTTCTTTCAGGTATTGGTGCCTTAAAGACTCTGGAACAATTAGATGTCAGCTTTAATTATCTGGAGAAACTGCCAGAAGAGATTGGTTACTTACAGAATTTGAAAAGATTGTACGCTTTCAGCAACAGATTAAAGCAACTTCCTAAATGTATGCTTTCATTTCATAAAATCATTAAGCCTCTTGCTTGCAGGAGAGCTTTTCTCAACCAAAGTTTCTTTGTCATTGTTATATCTGCTAAAAATTCCCTTTATTTTATTTCTTTTCCAGTAAGATTTCTTTGGGTTTTTGAGAATTTTTTTCAGCAGTTCTAATTGCAAGTCAAAAGTTTTCTGTGGAAGTAAAAACAATTCAAGAAATTCCTCTTATGATAAGAATATTTTTTTAATCACACCTCCCCTCTTTAAATCATGCCCTCCCCCCTCCCATCAAAAAAGTGGAGCCTAACTGTAGATTTTACAAAAAATGTACCTGTTTAGGAATTGGAAAAAATGTCAGATTATTTTGTCATATTGATGTGTAAGCATTCTTTCATTTCTGTTATTTAAAAATTAGCATTCTTGAAGAGCATTTAATGCCATACAGTGTAGTTATGAACCAAAATGTAAAAAAAAAAAAAAAATCACTACTGCTGGAAAAGCAGAACATAAATTTGCCAGTTGTTAATACAGGCAATATAAAATGTGTAGCTTTATCTAGTATGCATCTAATTTTGTAAACTTTTAAAGTGTTAATTTTTTTTTATTTGTAAAATTTCAGCAATTGGGGCTTTGAAAAATCTTGAAGTTTTGGGAGTGATGAAAAATGAAATATCAGTCCTTCCGGGAGAACTTGGTCATCTGATGAATCTGAAAGAACTAAATGTGGACAGCAACAACCTAACAAATCTTCCCAAGGAACTCTCTAACCTCAGCAATTTACAGGAATTGTCTGCATCCAACAACAACTTGATCACCCTCCCACAAGGCATGTACAGTAAGACACACTTATAGTGAACATGCTTACAATGAATTGACGCTTACAGTGAAGTGATTTTCATACCCCATGACTCAAGAATAATTTTTAAATTTAACAGATTTAACAAATAACGCTTATAATGAAGCAAGATGGTCATTCCCTGGCACTTTGTGATAAGCGTGTTTTAAATATTTTAAAAAAAATTGAGGCCCATGGAGGACCTGAGTGTCACAATGGAAGTTGCTGATGATCCAAAATATATTGTTCTTTTTTCATATAATATACCCTTTGCAAATCTTGAGAACCATGTTGCATCTCTATTTGGCCTACTGGCTTTGATTCAAACAATCAAATTTGTATATCATGAGGATATTTTCATATTAATTTGATACAATGTAACTATTGTTTTGGGGGAAGATTTTTCAAAAAATCTGTATCATTATTCATACAGTGTAAAAAAATAATTGGTGTTTATATAATGATAAATGTTGATGTACTTTTATGTATCTTTAATTATATTTTTTTTTTTACCAACATACAAACCATAATTTTTATGGGGAAAAAAGTCTCGAAAAATAACTAAGAACAAAAAAGTGGTCTTGGAACAATTTATACCCATGTGATCTATCAAGTATACTGTAAACCAACTTTTATTTGCCTTCGACAGTTATCTTTTAGTTTTGAAACCTTCTTTAAATAGCGTTTTTGCTCACTGAGATTTGTTATTGTTATTTGTACTAACTGCTGATCTTTTTTTTTTTTTTGACAGACCTAGGGCTGATTCAAACACTAGTCAACATTTTTGTGGATAATAATCCTTTTTTGAACTGGCTTCCAATGTCTCTAAAATCAAGAATTCGTAAAATGAAGATTGGACTAAATAGGTATGTGAAATAACCTTAACAGGTCTGGGCAGCCTCCATTTTTGGAGGATAGCTAGATTCAATATGGCTGCCAAAATTTTTACCATATATGGAAACTGCATTGCATTGTGGGACAGTTTATCCTCCGATATCAGAGGATAACACAGGTAATTTTCAAACACCTCGTGCCTACCTTTAATCAAAAAGGGCAAGCACCAGAGTACATGTAAATAAAAGTTCAAACATTAAACTATCGATTGTATGTGGCGATTTGAGATTCTATGTCTAGATATTTTGCAAATTATTTTCAAAGTTGGCACCTTTTGCGCTCCATTATTACTGAATATTTCTTGTTATTTTGTTTCATTTTTTATGATTTTTCCCTATTTAGACAAATAAAAAAGGACTTTAATATTTCTTTCATATTTTCTTTTAATTCAAAAAAAGGAGAACAAAGGGAAACACAAAAAGAAACACATTTTAAGCGTATATTTAAAACGAAGAATATACTTTGCCTTATAATTAAAGCAAATAAAACTATAAATGGATGGAATGAATAATTATGAAAATAAATAAATAATTTGAATAGCATTAATAAATAAAATAAATAATTTAACACGTTTACTAAGAAATTAACATATAATTATTCATACAGCCATGTGTATACATAAACAAAATATTACAAAGTGATGTGCTTAATAATTATTAAATGAAAGAAATGATAAATGATTAAACTTATTTTTTTCAAATTTGTTTATCAAAAGTTCTAAACTGCTTATCAGATAATTACGGTACTGGAAAATCAGAGTGGGTATAATTAACCGCAGTCACAGGCACTGCCAGGTAAGTGCAATATTTATGTTCCAAGCTGTATACGGAATAACTGATTGATGGCAATTACAAAAATATAGTTATATTGATTTAATATCTGGAATTATCCATCATCATATTAAATTGTACCTTTTATTTGTTTTGATTTCAAATTCAGTGTACGGTTCATAAATACAAGAGTTGCTGTTATTTGTTTGGTTAAGAGTTAACTGCCCTTTGTTTTGAAAATTCCGGTAGGTGGCAAGACTGCTATCCTCTGTTTTCAGAAGATAAAATCTATCCTCCAAAAACAGAGGCCGCCTAGACCTGCTTAAGGAAGCTCTAAACACTGGACACTGAAGAGTTCTAATTCCACGGTTGTTTATGCAGTTAGAGAACCTGTCCTTTTAGTTTTATGTAAGATGAAATGGAAATCTACAGTTAATGGCACAATTTGAACTATATTATAGTATTCTTAACATTAGATTAGACCAAGATAAAGTAATTATAAATACATTATTTGCATGTATTCTCTAACTGTAAGTAAATGACAATGATTTTTATTCATAAGCTCCATTGTCTTCAAAAGTTTTTTCTTAAGGAAATAAAGCTGGTACATGTACCCTATGTTGAAAATGAGCAAGATAAACTCAATATGTAAACCTTCATATGATACAATTTCTCCAAGTACAAAACATTTTAATTTTCATTAGTGTTTAGAGCTTCCTTAACACCAGAAATTATTAAAGGTTCAATCAACCTTAATAATGGCAGTGTTGGACATTTTAGTGGATTGGCAGGATGTTTTGATGGGGAAAAAATCAGTGTTTTAGTGGAATATTTGTGAACATTTTAGCAGAAAATTTATAGGAAATTTACATGGAATTCAAAATAGGATGTAGACATTTTAAGTGGGAAAGTTAAGTCAAATACACATATACAGTAAAACACTTATAGTGCCAGGGATGAACAATTTTGATTCATTATACTGGTAAATGTAATTTGTAATATTTGTTTAGTCATGTTAGTTTACAATATGTTTGAAAACTGGCAGTAAAGAAAAATCACTTCCATATGAGCATGAATTCATTATAAACATATTAACTACTGTGATTTGTATCCGACTGTATTTTTTGATACTTTTGTATCTTTTCTGTTACCCAGACTATATATAAGTTTGATGCCCATTTCTCGCAAATGGAGTGCTGGAAGACAGATTTTGAGAAGGATATAGTTAATATTAATACAGCTAAATTTCTAAAAATATCAGATCAGTTCCAAGCTTTGAAGTCTTTCACAAACAACTCAAAGAATATCCTCAGATTTTAGTAATCCAACACTGCGGTACTGCATCTTATATCACAAATGATTATACATGTACTATTTTCCTCTTTTTTACCTTCTTTTGACCTTCACACTTCCCTAGTGTTTTGTGTTCTGATTACAGATTAATATATGTACAAAAAAAAATTTCCTGTATGAATATTGGTATGTGAAGATTTCTAATCCATACCATCAAGACCTCCAACAGAGTTGAAAGTTTAGTCATTATAATCTTCTGACCTTTAGTCTGACTCTAACATTGATTGTTTACAAGAAAATAAAACTATATCTCTGAAAATAATTGATCTAAAATGTCCATTGAATTATTACAGATAGACAGTTTTTTTCCACTAAAATGTCTGGTAAAGTTCCCTTTTAAATATCCATTCACACCCTTAGCAATTGTGCTAAAATGTCCTGCGCTCAATCATGGATTTAAAGTCATTGTTTGCATGTTTTTCAATATTTATTAGTACAAAAAAAATGAAGTAAAACTAAATACTTGTGCATTATGAATTAAAGGAGGAATTTTTTACCATCTTCCAAGTTTCATAATAATCATAATACACCTACCTATAAAAATATACAGTTTAATACATAATCCATTAAGTTTGTGATGAATACTTTATACATCCATAGGTGTGGCTTTGGAGATCCACCAGAGCATACTGTCAGGGCATATCACTGTGTAAATATAAGGTGGAATAAATATGAAGCTTTTGTCATTTTACCAAAAGAAATAACCCAGACTATGTCCCTGATGAGCACCGATACCCTCGCTTCACCTCTACAACTCTCTGTTTGGACGAGAGACCCTGTTGCAGATTGTAGTGAAGTGACTGTGCAATTGTGTCATGATGGAGAATTTGCATCTAGAGTGCCAAGTTTACTGGAACTGACCCTAAGGACATATTATAGATCTCTTTCAATGTCTGAAAAAAATATTAAAGGTCAGTGACTATGACATCATCATTTTTTTTTATCATAATTACATAAGGATTTTCAAGTCTCAATTACATGATTAGTTTCCAAATCAATTATTCAATTCAATGAGGAGAAACTATCTTCTTTAAGAAAACTTTCAACATTTTTTAGCAGTCAGACATCTCTAAAATGTTCATTTTTGGAATTCTTCTGCTGTACAACATGTCTCAACTCTTTCAGGTGACCCTGAAGTGACCTTGCCACAAACTATAGAAGAACTGCTTCACTGCCCTACAGCACATTGTAGTCTCTGCAATGAAGTTCTATTTGTAGCAGCTTTTCCATTCATTTACCAGGACAGCTTCTCTGCAGAAAAGCCAGATGACATGTTTCATTTCCTTGGCCTCTGCTGCTCTGAGCAATGTAAGCAGTAATTGACTATAGATTGAACTACCCAGTGTTAAATTAACAGATTCATTTTACTACTATAAATGGAAAGAAGAATAAGGTTACTTTAACTTGACATAAGACTCAATATACAGACTGCAATTGAAATTATAATTCTTGAAATCTTGGACTTTATTTTGATGACTATAAGGGGTCATAGATTATGAAAATGGCAACTTGGGTGAGTATTGTGCCTCTGGGACCTCCAATCTGATTAAAATCAGATCCTTTGATCTGCTCACATAGATCACTACACAAGGTAGCAATCTATGTGAGCGGATCAAAGGATCTGATTTTAATCCGATTGCTGGGACCTCATATTTTTTCAGTATTTAATTATGAATCCTGTCTTTAAATAAATATATGTGTACGTTATACAATATTATTTTAACATATTATAATGGTTTTTTTTTTCTGCAGGTTTTCTTCAGCAACTTACAGAGCAGTTACGATGAGGTAATTATTGATAATCTGACTTGGATTCCAAAGAATCTGAAAATTCCTGACTCTAGGATATCTCAGCTTCATGTTCAAATACATGGTATCAACAAATCTGCTCAGTTAACTCTTGGGTAATTGAAGAGTCCTACACTCGAGAAGGTCCAACATGCATCCTCCTTACTAGATTTGAACAATCTGCTGTTGTCATTTAATACATGTATGCGCAATGTTGAAATGCATAAAAAAAACTCATCTTGCCAATCCAAGAAAATTGTAGAGAGTGTGGCTGATTCATAATTAGTGCTGTTCTACAGGAAGTGCAAGACTGATATACATGTACTTCAGTGTGGATCTAAGGATACCTATAAGTGGAGAGTCAAATTATTCCAATTTTCACATGGCCTGAAAAAGCTCTCACTGATTATATATAATCTTATCAGCTTATTTACCAAAGTCCAGATTTAGCCAACACTGAATTGGATATCTTCATTTATAGAGTATAGAGCTGTGCTTGCCTTAGCCAAGACTTATTAATCACTGGCTTCCTTCTTCAAGTATCAGTTACTAAACATAATGGAACTCTTTTGTTTAGAGATTCAAAAAGAAAACTTTAAGGTTCATTATCTCCCTGTTCACTCACATAAGATTTTACTTTAATGACAGTTATGACACTGATTTTCCAAAAGAAAACTTAAAGTTGAAATAAATGCAATTTTAGCATACTTTGGTGTGAAAACTTCGAAAGAAATTGCCTTTTTATTTAACAATAGTTAAAGTAATAATAGTAAGAGTTATCTCTCTTATCTGAGTGTCAATGAACCTTAAAAAAAAGGACAAGAATACACACACACCTTCATTTATCAAAGAATAATGGATTTAATCCATTGTTACAACTTGAGGATATCTTGTCAAAATGTTTAGATGTACATTTTTTCATCCAATAAATACATGTACATACATATAATAGCTTCTCTAGTACAGTGGTACTTGCATTTTTCTCAAGTTATTGGCTGTACAACAGCCATGTTTTAAAAAAAATCATAATTTTGCATGATCCTTAAAGTTTCTAGAAAGATACTTATTTAATTTTTTTTCCACAAATGTAAGACAAATAAATTGAAAAGAAACAATTTGTTTTTTCTTCTTTTTGTTTTGTATTGACTTTGATCAAATGTTATACATTTAAATTGCACTTCATTGACAGAAAAAAAAAAAATAAATAAATAAATAAATACAAGTTTTCCTACTTATGAGATATTTCATTAAAAAAAAAAATAACTGAAAGAGAACAACAACTAGCAAAATAAAAAGATTTTTTTTTCTAACTGTTTTTCATAATGAGTCCTTGTGAGCAAATTGCCATTGTAACGGCCTGATTAATAAGACTGCTCTGATCAGTATTTTGCAGAGCTGAATCTTCCAAGGTTGAATCTCTCTCATTCACTTGAATAACAATAGGTTGTGGATCAGATGAAAATTGTCTATCAGATCTAGGGATTGTACCCTCTCCCAGGCTTGAAAAACCCGTACTAGAAGAGGATGGGATTAAAGGATTATCCGTTTGTGGTGAGAGTCCCTGTGACTGGATAGCATGAGAGATTCCAAATGTTTCAATTTCTGTTTTTTCCCTTTTAAATGTGTCTGCCTCTGTTTCTGGAGACACTCCCATTTCTTCTAGAGTCATGTTAATGGCATTGTCAACAATTGATTTCGCAATATGTTTACTCTGCCATTTCTGTAAATTGTAAGTATTTCTGTCTCTATTTAGAGTTCTTTGGGGTGTTGTATTGGCATTCTGTCCAATAGCATGACGCAGAGAAGTTGGTGTATCAAATATATCATTCTCTATGCTTCTGCGTGGATTCTGATGAAAATTGGTGCTGATGTCGATGTCTGCGAAAAGAAGTACTTGATTTCCATGTAAACTTTCCACACTTGTATCTGCAGAATCATCACTTTCAATATCACTTGAATCCACATTTCTTTCATGATTTATCACCCTTTCTGTCAAATAGTGTTCATCATTGCTACAGCTTGGTGTATTATGAACTTGATCACTTTGGATTACTTCTTCAACAGATGCTGAAAACCGTGCCTTTTTGCAAACACTAGAATCATCCAAGACCGGCTCTCCTTGTTGAGGAACTTGTGTTGATGGTTCTTTTCTCTTTGATGGATGACTTCTTGAATCCATTCCTTCACTGCATTAAAAAAACTGCAAAATAATAACGTATACAGTGGTAATTTTCATATATTGCACCATATGGACAGGTACTATACTACTATTTACACTGCACCATATGGACGTGTACTATTTACATTAATTCCTTATTTAATGATGGTAATTGTTTAACTTAACTATCCTGAAAATGAAGGAATAAAAATATATCATATAGTCGATAAAATATTCAACTTGCAATCGAGATTGTTTTTGATCCGACTTTCTGCAGGGGCTTATGGTTTTTTAAACAAGACCATAACATTTGGTAGAGGAGAATATAGAACATTTGAAATTCCTTGGTAGTTATCCCTGAATCAAATATATAAACTTCAATTCATTCAAACGTAAGTAAAAAAAAAAATAACAACTAAATCTTTACTCTGGGGCTGTCAGGATGTTGACTGAGTGTCATTGTTTACATTTTTGATGCCATCTGTTTACTATTTCAGCTGCAAACAAGACCTGTATGCTTGACACACAAACTGTTATGTTCTTAAAATAATGCGTAAAATGAATATACTTACTGTATTATTCAAAGTCATTCCAATGGTTAGGAACAGGACATTTATTTTTAACAAAACACTCGTAAATTAATGAACAAAATATTTTATCCAAACATTATCCACCATATTTATGCAAATAAAATTGTTAACCAATCAGAGACGGCGTTACTTTCTTTAGATATTAAACAACTCGTTCCATGATTCATTTCTAAATGTTTTCGACTAAAAACGAAACGAGTTTTTAAACAGCTCATAGAGACAAAAGGTAACCGTTACATTTCCGATAAGCTCTAGAGTGACGTATAACAGTATGTCTCTGACCTGTAGAATACACGAAAAGGAAAAAAGTCATTCCTATCCAGAGTTGTTCCCGCTATGTAGACCCCTATAGAAATGGAAAGGGGGGGGGGGTACCCGTGAAAGAAATGAAACGTGAAATATAAATTCAATGACAATTTCAATTTTAAAAATCGACATGAAGAATTTTTTTAAAAAAGTCTTTAAATAGATAGATATAGATAGAGAGAGAGATTAGATAGATAGATTAGATAGATAGATAGACAATAAACTAGTGCGGGTGAAGAAAAGCGTTTCCCTTTTGAATTGCGGTGTTGCAGAAATTCAAACTGAACCCCCTCCCCGACAAACCCATTAAATCCAACCGACAAAAAAAAAAAGACTTTTTAAAAAAGAGGCCCAAGGACCTCAACAGTAACCTGAGTATAATAGATCACTGTAAAAGATCCACAGACGCATAAAATAAAACAAATTTAGAGAGGAACTATGTTACCCTAAAGCAAGAAATATAAGGATAAGGGATCAACAACATAATTTGTCTAGTAATCCTTAATAAATCTTAAACTAGATCTATTTAGTTCAAGTTGCCTATATCTGCTCTCATTTTAACTATATTATCTTGAAAAAAAAATTAAAATAATAGTGCTTGAGCTCTATTGGTAAACCCATCTCATTCCCTCTCACATTGGCCTCTCTTGTTCTATGAAGAATCATCTTTAATTAATCTATATTGATCTATAAATAAGTCTACCTGAGCATTAAGAACTATAAAATACTTTTTGTATAACGTGTTTTAAAAATTCTTATACAAATCTCTAATAAAACTGACCTTTCAATTACATTATTTACAGTGATTAATTATCATAGATGAATAGCAAAAGGAGAATAACTTCTCTCAGTAGAATACAAACTAATAGAGCCCTGCCCAACATCAGAACACTTGACTAAATGGTCGACTTGACTCCTGACCCTGGAGCCACAAATTTCAAAATTTTCGAAGATACACCCTCGCTCATCATACTATGCACTTAATTTATCTGCTTAGTACCCAGGAGCAGAGATGCATTTTTATTAATTTATCAATAGAGCCCCATTCTAACACCAGCACCCCTGACCCAGGGGCCATGAAATTCACGAGCCTTGCTCATCATGGCTATGCACTATATTTGTTTGTTAAACACCCAGGAGCAAAGAAGAAGATTTACAAAGAAATAATGCATTTTCACTATATATTCAATAGAACCCCGTTACGCCACAACCCCTGATCCAGGGACTATGAAATTTATAATTCTGGAAGAGGCACCCTTGTTCATCATAACTGTGAATTTAGTTTGTTTGCTTAATACCCAAGAGCAGAAATAAAGATTTCAAAAGAAATAATACATTTTTCCCTATATACACATGTAATCAATAGAGACCCCCCGCCCAACAACAACAGAACTCCTGACCCGGGGGCCATGAAATTCACAATTTTGGAAGAGGCACTCTTGCTCATCATAACCATGCACTTAGTTTATCTGCTAAGTATCCAGGAGCAGAGAAGAAGATATTCAAAAATTTATGCATTTTCACTATATAATCAATAAAGCCCGGGCTTAACACTAGAGCCACTGACCCAGGGACCTTCAAATTCACAATTCTGGAAGAGACACCCTTGTTCATCATGCATAACTAACACTAAATTTGTTTGCTAAATACCCAGGAGGAGAAAAGAAGATTTTCAAAGACTTAATGTATTATCACTATATGATCAATTACAGCCCCCCCCCCCCGTCACCAGAACCCCTGACCCTGGGGCCACTAATTTCACAATTGTGGAAGAGGTGCCCTTGCTCATCATAACTAAGCACGTAGTTTATCTGCTAAAGAAGAAGATTTTAAAAGAACTTACTCATTTTCACCATATGATCTAAGAGCCCCACCCTAACTCCAGAACCCCTGACCCAGGGGCCATGAATTTCACAGTTTCGGTTGAGGGCTCAATGCTTATATTACATGTACAATCATGCCAAGAGTTTGACTGCTTGATGTCCAGCAGTAAAGAAGTTTGTTTTTTTTTTTAAAGATAGCTCTAATTTTGATGTTTTAGCCCACCCCTCAGACCCCGGGGAGAGGGAGGGGGCAGAGACCATGAAATTCAAAATTTTTATTCCCTTACACTCATAGATGCTTTGTGCCAAAATTGGTTGAAATTGGTTCAGCGGATCCAGAGAAGAAATGAAAATGTGTTCAATTCATATGTTAATGGACGACGCACAACGCACGACGATGGTCAAAAACAGATCCCAACAGGTCACCTGAGTGACTCAGGTGACCTAAAAAAAGCTAATTTAAAAAAAATAAAGCAAGCAAACAAATCTGACCCCCCCCCCCCTCCCTCCCGAAGAAAACTTCAGCCAAAAAAGTATAACAAATAAGTTATAATTAAGGTAACAGAAGACATGCCTGTCTAAAGGGCTCGCTTACTGCTCATTTTCTGTACTGTAACTTACGATGGCCGATATGGGCCGGACAAAAAGTAACCACGAGTTGTGTTCGATTTGCCGGCAATTCTTAGATACTGGCAAAAAGTAACCACGAGTTGTGTTTGATTTGCCGGCAATTCTTAGATGCCGGCAAATCTTAGATACCGGCAATTCTTATTTTAAATATTTAATTAAAATACTAGAAGATATAGAGGTCTCAAAAGTCAAGTTATCTTAATTGGGAAAACGGTTTGACAAAGACAACAGTTTCACTCGATACGTGGCATTATTTATGACATATCAAAACGAAGTAAATGGCTAGAAAGCAGCATCCCCCTCCCCGAAAATTAAAAAAAAAAGTCAGTAAAGGGGGGGGGGCTATTTAACACTGGTCTGGGTTACATTCACTGTCTTTTTACAAAATGTTTGAAAATCAAGTATATTAGAAAAAAAAAACATTTCTTGGGTAATGTATATCGGGCCTCTTTTATATATGAGGTCCTGCAGATATACATACGCAAATCGCCAAGTGTAAACTGCTCTTCATCCTCAGGGTAACAGAGGTTTCGTTTTCCGGTTTTTCATAATATTTCATTAAGATATGGCAGGGCCTAGATTAAAATGGACAATACAAATTCAGAAGTTTTCTGTATTCTCATTATCACCCTCCTAATTGTTTATGGTAGTTTAATAAACCGGGCAAGTTTTTTAAAACATATAATCAGTTGACTACATGTAGCTGGGCAGTCAATCAACAGGCAGAGTGCACAGCGTATTTGGTATTTGAGGAAACACTGGCTTTGATATTAAAATAAATAACACAACTATTGAAGATCAAATAAAATATGGGTTGGTAATGAATTTAAAAGATATTTATATACGTTTATGTGGAGTGCACAGGTCTGGAAACCCCTTAAACATTGTCTGTATGCGGTTTTCCTCCTCACTTTTCTCAGTACTGTGTTTTGTCAAACCCTTTGTCCTGTTAAGTTAACTAGACTTCTGTGACCTCGATATCCTCGGCATTTTAATTAAATATTATATATAAGAATTGCTGGTATCTAAGATTTGCCGGCATCTAAGAATTGCCGGCAAATCAAACACAACTCGTGGTTACTTTTTGCCGGCATCTAAGAATTGCCGGCAAATCAAACACAACTCGTGGTTACTTTTTGTCCAGCCCATATCGGCTATCGTAGTAACTTCCCATTCCCGACCAGTCACAAAATTTCTTATTTTAATCAAAATTGACCTCCCCCGGAAATAATATCTCTGAAATACAATGTAGTTTTTTTTATTTGGCGTGGGGATGGGGTGGGGGCACACGACGCTCCCTTCCGTATGTCCCTTTTTATTTGCCTAAAAATGTGTAATCCACATACATGTATATTTACATCCATTAATTACGTGTCAGTAGGAAAAATAAATTACCTTGCACCCCTCTCCCGCGCGAGCAAAAATCCTGGATACGCACCTGCATAGATAGCATATTTATATATACATGTATGACTGACAAAGTAAAGTGTAAGGTACTGTATACTTAGTAAAAAATGAATTAACCCCCCCCCCCAAAAAAAAAACCCCTGTTGTTTTTTCCTATTTATCTAGATGCATGTTAATTGTGATCCATTTTTTTCTTTTCCCCTTTTATTCAAACTCAGTTTTATCTTTGTGCTCTATGATCTAAGTCGGTTAGAAACCGAAGAAATGTTGTCTAAACCAAAATCATTATGTTTAATAATAATATTAAGATCAGTACATTATAGTACAGTAGTATATTATGTATTCTTTTCCAGAAGAATTACTGTTCTAAATTAACTGATCAAAATTGTCTGTCTACAGTACAATAATGTATATCAATAATACACAACATCAGACGCATTTATAACTTATCTTTATTTTATGTGTTTCAATTAGATTTGGAAAGAATGTGCTATAAATCCAGTCATAAATATACAAATGCGCTAGTATAATGTACACTTTTTTCTGGATTTTATTCACATTGATACATTAAGATTTCTAATCAGTAGATGACTCAAGCAAAGTTTTGAGGGAATACTTGCTGTTAAATTCGTTTGGCGAATCTTTTAAAATCAATTTTTAAACTAAGAAATTTTACCCCCCCCCCTCTCTCTCTCTGTGTGTGTGTGTGTGGGTGAGTGTGTGTTTTCTGATTCAATAGATCAAATGTCTAGACATTGCATACATCCCCGAGCTCATAAATGTACCATGTCTGTTTTGAATGAAAATTCAAATGACATTTCAATCCAATATAAACACAATTAGTGAATAGTAATGAAGGAGAAGAAAAACTTTTGAACATACCA